AATAATCATTCTTGCTGAACTATTAAAGATTCTCAGTCTTGGACAGATATGAGTCATTAAGAAAACTTGTTAGATTATTTTCTCACTGTCCCTAAACTGATCAGTTAAACTCTTCATGATCTTAAATTTCAGAACTACATGCCACTATTATTGATTCTTTTTTTCTCTCTTTTTCACATTGGTGTTAATTTCATGAACGTTCTTGCCTGGTGATTCTGTTGCTTTTTCATCTCTGCTTTCTGTTTCTCAGTCTCATAGGGAGAAGGTCTCCTTCCTTCTTGATCCCAGAGGAGGCCATGTACTCGACTGCCTCCACAGTCACTAAATGCTATCATTGTATCAGAATATGGATAATCAGGGACAGAAGAGTCGTATATGAGGAAGAAAGACAGAAATGCTGCAGGGCAGCTTGCAATGACTACTTCCAGTTAATGTTAATTAGCCATAAACCTTCCTAGACTGCTCAGCCTAGGGGTGGGCTATTGGCTTCTTCGTTAACATCTCTTTTCCTGCTGTCACCTTTTTAAGTAATGATTAAACTGTGAAACCTGAGTATGCAGCCTCTTTAACAAATTGTATCATTGGTTCAGTTTGCTCTATACTTTTTGTATCTGTTTATTTCCTCTGTAGAGGGCAAAAGATTGCCAGTTTGTTGCATGCTCTACCAAAATCGGAGTACCAGGCTCTGCTATTCAGGCATGTTCATAGGGCTGTGGCTTGTTCCTTCAAACCAGAAAAGCAATTATAAATCATGGCTCATAATTTACTTGGTCTCTTTGTACACACAGTCCTGGTGAGCCAAACTCTGGATAGCTTCATGAGCCTTGATAAACAGGATTTGTTTGAGGGATGTTTATCAGAGTTAGGAAGACTACATGGTGCATGTGGTTGTCATCCACCTTAGCAACCACAGCAGATATGTGACGGTTCTAGCCATAAGCAGCAGTAAAACATAATAATATTCTGGTCTAGGACTTTACAACACTAATTTAAAAGTAAAATTCCTTAACATGTGATCTGCTTGTAGATTCAATATTGTGATTTCCCAATCTTATTACTGTATCACTAGATCACAGGGAGAGCTTCTTTAAATAAAACAGGGAACAAAATAATGAAGCGGAAGAAGCAACATCTGCAGCCTCCCATCTTCAGAAATGTTTCTTGGATTAAAGAAAATTAATTTTAGTAATATCTGTTTAACATTTTCCAAGTAAATAATTATTAGCCTCCAGCTCACAGTTTTCAGATAGGTGAGGGGCAGTTGGTGTTAAGGTAGCTTTGTGACAGATGCCCTGGACAAAAAGCTGTCAGATTCAAATTGCAATTGCATTCTATTTTTCCATCTCAAAAGATCTCTCTAGATACATTAATACTCTTCATTAAAAATTACTGACTGTTTTCAAAAGATATATCAAGAATTGCATGTAATGTAGCAAAAGTTCAGGAGCACACGGTGTTGTGGCTGCAGTGATCACAAAATTGGCCTTGCTGATTCTTTGCCTTTTGACTCTCAGCCCTGCCTTCAGTGTAAAAGGTCTCAGGGACAGGAATAATGAGACTGTCTCCTATGAAAAGACCTAACCTAATCGAGGCTCTGGCATCGCTTTGGACTTCTACAGCAAAGGGGCTGTAAGAGGGGACTGTGGCCAACTCCACAATGCAATGCACAAGAAGATCAATGTGGCAGTGGGAGCGATGGGAATTCTGGCCCCTGCTGTGAGACCTAAACAGGACTAGCAGCAGCCATCAAACTCTCTGCAAGGGCACCCAGCAGGAGAATGGCAACAGCTCTTAAACCCTCCACAGGACATTAGAGGTGAGTACTAAAAAATACTAGAAAATCACACAGGAGTACTTAAGTATTACTTGATCATTAACATAGTAATTACATCAGTGCTGCTCTTCCCTGGTGCCATAATTTAAGAGGTTTCAGTGTTTTCATTATAATCAGTAGCAGTTATTTCCTGTGGTTCATTGCCCACAAAATGTTCACCATAAAAAAATAAAATAGAGGCAGAGACTTTGCCATGATGACAATTAACATTCACCATGGAACTTGTGCATCCCTGTGCTGCAAATCACTCTGGTGTGTTTCGTCAGGCTTCAGAGGGCCACACAAGGCACATTTCTCCCTGAAAGCTTTTAATAGAGGCTTTTAACTAAGATTTTTATTGGAGCCTTTTCTTAAGAAAAGGCATTCGTGAAGTGCTGCCACACTACTCCATCCCAGGGAGTCCAAAGTGATCTCCTGAAAGAGGGGAGATTTTTATTTGAATATTGAAAGTAAGCTATTTCACATTCAACTTTGGGAGCATCCGACAGCATAAACTATCATGAAGCAGATGGGAATCCCTCACATGATTTGATTTGATGAGTGCTGTAGAGGGGGAAGCATCTTTCCTTCAAATGGCCACAAAAGGAAAGGTTTTATGAACCCAGATAACCTTAGGAGTTGTGTTTAGCATTATCAAAGAGGTGCAAAGGCTGGGAAAGAAAATCACACTAACAAAAAGGGGCTTACTTCTCTAGGGTAGAGACACAGCTGGGAAGAACTTGAACTTAAGTATGTCAGAAAGCTCCAGGAGCAGATACCTGTGGGATTAAATATACATATCTATAATCACCATTCTGTTGTGGAACCACTGTAAGTTTGGATGTGCACCTTGTCAACAGTCGTGTATTTACTCACTGTATCTCATTCACTACTCAGTAATGTCTACTTCTCTTTCCACCAGCCATGTCCTAGTGTACAAGAGCTTGAAGAAACTAAGTGTGCACACTTGTAGGTGGAAGGTAGTTAAATAGTCAAAATATCTGAAATCTTAAAGATGAGGGTTGAGTCTACAATGTAGAAAATAATTACAGAGAATGAGTATAGAAGAAGATTCAAGAGATCTTCGAGCTTCATTTCTTTCCCAAGTTAGGCTCTGCTTTGCCTATAGCATTTCCTACTGTTGCTTGTTAATTTGCTCTTCTAAATAGCAAAAGCAGAAAGAAGAAAAAGAAAGGGAGGGGAGTGCTGGCCCTTCATTCTGGTAGAAAAGTGTTTCACAGATATTTTAAAGAGGCTCCGTGTTTACTATTTTCTGTGGAAAATACAATAGTTCTTCCATAATATTGTATAATCCAGCTTCAGAATACATTTTTCCTATGAGGACTGTAATCTTTTGACCTAAGAGGGATATAGGAAGCAAACTACCAAGCTCTGCTGCCATCATAATGAAACTTCAGGAAAGTTCCAAAATGTGAATTCATCTAACAAGCTCTCCGAGATTGTGCAAATGGGAATGTAAATGATGGTTCCTATCTACCGAGTAGACGGCATGATTAATTAATGCACTACAAAAGAAGAAAGTTTGACATTTAAAGCAAGATTGGGTGACTTTCAGTGTATTAAGTTTTATGGTTTTGATGTGAACTGGGCAAAGAATTATAACATTCAATCAACATGAACAGTTTGTATTGATCTGCATAGAAAATTGGATAAAAAGATATATGGTCTCACTATAAGCTTTTTTTCTTGGTTTTATTTGCTTTGCAAGAGAGCAATATTTTTCTAAGCATAGATTGAGTGCAATGACTCCATAAAATGGCCCAGGAGGTTTCTATAGCACCATTAGAAGTGTGTTCTCTCTGCACAGAAGCTAGTGAGCAATATTGCTGTGGAAATGAAGTCCCCTGGTATATTATTCCCACAGTGGACATGATGAACCAGCACTTGAAATTCACCTGAAAAAATTCCAGGCTGTGGTGGCTACTATAAAAGCAGTGCAGTGAATTTTTCCCTTTAAACATTGCTTGCCAAATGAAAGAGTCCTTCAGAAATTAAGTGCCCTGGGAAATCATTTGAGATGAGATAATTAATATTAGGATTATAATTGTTGCTTTGCAATTCTATGACACAGAGTTTTGGGTTTTCTTTTTTTCCCTTTTTTTCTTTCTGTGCTTGAGCTTTCCATGAACAGATTCTGGTAGCCCTGACTTCATCTGTTAACTGAAAGGAGCAGTTGGACTCAGTGCAGATAAGGGCACCACTGCAAAAGGAGATAACATGGAAGATAGCTGTGACATAGGGTATAGCTCCTCCTCTGCTCTCTTCACCCATGTAAGGGGGGAAGATGTGCAAATTGTGTTCCCTCACCCATTTGTGGGGCACGCAAGGTTGCCTCAGCAGGCTGGGTTGCTTTCATCTCCTATGAAGAGAGTTTCAGTGACTAGAAAAGATTGAGTTAGCAAGGAGTGATGAGACGAGTATGGCACAAATGCTAACCTATCCTCCACAGAAAAACCGAGCTGGTGAGATCGAATAGATCGTTGATGTGATACCCTTTGAGCAAGAGCAAAAGGAAATCTCTCTGAGAAAACAGAGGCGACTCCTCTAAAATTAATCCATGCCATCAAACTGCTGTAACTGAGAAGTCAGTTTGTCCCCAGCTGCTTAACTTTGCCACATTTTGTACCACCTGCAATGACATTTCATTACTATAGAGTGACAGCAGCAAAACTACCATGCAGCTATCAGCAGGAAAGGAAATTAGTGATGATTATGATTAACAAAACATCTCTGGCTCAGCCAGTGCCAAGAGAAGACAGCCTCTAAAGGAATCAAATAGTGGAAGTATCAGGAATGTAATATCAGCACCACCCTGTGGATTTCTTGATCTGCTTCCTCCTTGCTTGGGTCAAAAGGAACCCACAGCAATGTTTCTGAAATTTCTCTGGTCCTCATTCACGTGGCTGATACTGAAAACTCAGCCTGGTTTCCTTCCCACCTGAATGAAATCCAAAACGCTACTCAGAAAAGATGCAAGTTTCTGTGGGACTGAATGCATTCCCTAATGAATCCCTTGCTTGTCAGCAGCCCAAATTCTGTACTATTTGTCTGCAGCTTTTAAAACTGTTCCCAGAGGGCAGTGAAATCTGATAGCAAGTTTAAAGGAACACAACTGAAATCTAATCCTGCTTCATTCATAGGTTTTATAGATTTCCCCACTGTGTTCATCTGATTCATTAATTGGAAAATGTGTATAGTGGAAGAAGAAGACCTCACCTGTGAATGTCAATGTTGCCAACAAGTTCTGTTGTAAGTAGAATGTTTTGGCTCTGAAAAGCATCACATGTGCTTTTCTGATTTTAGTGCAGTGTTACTTAAAGTAGCAAATTAAGAAAAAAAATGAAGAGAGACCAGCTGCGTATCCTTACAGTATAGCTTTCTGGCAATGACTGAAGTCATTCAGATTCACACAGAAGTAATAAATGTCATTCAGGAAGATGCATATGATGAGCCAACAAATGAAGCTACCTCTGCTTACCCCTGTTAAAAAATTCAGTCTTTACAACTAAAGCAGTCAAAAACAGAGACTGATCTTCCATGCCAAATGTTTTAACGAAAAGAGGAAAAGTCCCTGTATACATAGACCAGTGAAACAAATGAGAGCACTCTTTCTTGTTCTTCTCATACTAGCAAGTCATCCAAGGATTTGATAAATTTGTGTAGGAAATTCTCTTAATCTTTGACTGCATTTTTTTGTCTTTTCAGAAAATCAGCAACATAGGTGTAACAAATAGCTGTGATTTAATACCCCCAAAATGCCTTTACTTTGATTGACTTGTATGATGAAAATCCAAATAATAATTTTATCCAAAATATATACCATCTTTAAAGATGTGTGATCATCTGCAGTATCAAGTGTTGGTCCAGCCTCCAGGCTGAAAGACTCAAACATAAGAAGAAACATACATTCCAACAAAAGATGTGCTCATGCAAATGCTCACAAGCGAGCAGACGATTAAATCCAAGGCAAATCATACCAGTTGTGCATATATCTCAGCAAGCTGCCCTGAAGGAGATCTACCCAGGACTAATTCAAAGGAAAAAGCAAATATTAAACAGTAGGCAATTGGGATCCCAAAGCACTCCTCCTGGTAAAAAGCAGGGAAGCACATAGCAAGTTGTTTCTGTAAAAGTTCCAGTTTCTAAAGTTACTTTCTTTCCATACTTTGATTTATTTTGGGCTCAAGTGACTTTAGACTTTCTTCGAGAATGTTTTGCAGGCAGGATTGAGGGTTTTCTTCCCACAAGGAATGAATGAGAAGGTTTCTCTGTAGGAGGCTGTCGGACTGAGTGATTAGTTTAATACTGTTGAGATTTTATTGTAATATTAATGGCGTGTTATGGTGCCTAAGGTCTTTGATAAGCATCATTTATAATTTTAAACCTAAGTAAATAAATTCAGGAATCATAGAAGAGGCTTCTTGCTTGATCTTATCAGCAGTGTGTCATAACCACAGCCAAAATTACGTATTCTACTTATTTAAAAAACTACATATATCAAAACTCTATTTAAACAGCTAGGAAAATGTCAAGACAATGAACCTTATCACCAAAATGTGTACTGCCACTCTACTAGTCTAGTACAAGAATAAAGAAGGGTTTTAAGCCACTACGTGGGAAATGAAAGTATCACTTCTCCTTGATTAATAGATAGATTACTGAGTCAATGTTTTGAATCTTTTTTGTAAAGCAAGTCTCATCAAAACCAGTAGCATCCCTCTCATTTTACTTATTTTAAGTATTTAGGTTTTAAAGTGCAGTAAGATAAATTCACAGTCAAACTGGAAAAATAAATCCAGCTCAATGATTGCATTTTTTTTTTATTATTTTTTTCTAACTTTAGATTTATGGGGAGAGGATTATTGTTTTTCCCACTGCTGTAGATATTTCTTCCTCATTATTATTTTTTATTTATTTATTTAGTACTGTTAGCGTGAAACATCTGGCTAGCAGCTAGCTACCCACTGTCACATCTTATATGCATTTTAAACACCTAGGGGGCATTTTGAGTTTGGTTCTAAGTAAGCAATTGGTAATGCAGCCAGTGAATACTTTCCATTCTCTATTTGCCAGCAGCATGCATTTTAGGGAGGTAATCTGATCCTTCATTGTGACAGGAAAAGTACAGCAGTAATGAAGGTTGAAGTGGTATTGCAATTAATTTTGTCAAAGAATTGGTTGTTATTAAATTCCATATTAGTTATGGTCAAGGAAATATCTTTTGTACAGCCATTCCTAAAGCTATCAGTCTAATCCCATCTGGAAACCATACAAATCAAAGGAAAATATGTGGATGTGTAGGTGCTAAACAGAAATTTAAAAGTGCTCTAAACATTATGTTCTGTGTAGCTCTGTGCTATGCATTTTTTCATTAAGCTCATTACAGATTATCTCAGCTTGTCCTTCAAGGAAAGAATCCTGTTGAATGGCTGCCAAAGCAAGAACCAATAGATCTGAGCTGCAGAGATTTGTGTGTGGTCTGATGATGTGATCTGGGTCAGTTTAGTTGGATTGTGCAAGCTCCTGAGAGGAAATTTAAACAGATATGTTTTCCCCTGTTTACCACCATCCTTTTAAATGAATGCAATTCCTGTCGAAGTGAGGCCTCCATTTCTATTTTTTACTTTCAATCTTCTCATCATGTGAAAACGTGGCTATCATGAGAATTTTCCATGCAATGTACCTATGCTATTGATAAAGAGCTATAGGACACTTCCCTTTACTGCCTGAATTATTCAGCTTCTTTACAGAAACTTAAAATTAATAGGTAAATAAAAATGAATGCCTTTTTGTCTTCTCTCATCACTCCCCTTATGTATTTCATACTGTTAGGAGTGCTACACTCTTGCCCTGTGCATGCAATGCTATGTCTGCGGTGAGATCAGGCTTTCTATTATGCCTAAAAGTTACACTTTCAGTAATTACTTTGCACATCCATGCATATAGTTGTCTAGCTAGCTGAAACCCATTTCTGACTGGGATTTTTTTTTCCCTGGTTTTAATAGAAAGAGGAGAGGAAGCAGCTTTAAACTGACTTTCAGAAATGAGTCTTTCTTATCAGGAATTAGTGTTTTGTTGCATTTCACCAACAGAGTCATTAAAATTTGATGAAGATGAGAAGCAACAATGCAGCCAGACCTGCCGTGCATTTTCAGGTGATCTGTGTTTTCCATTCAGGATTTGTTGGTGTGAAATCTCACGCTTCCTTATCTGATTTGAATGATCCAGGTTTACCCGTGCTCCAAAGACAGGGTGAAATTGGAACCTTTCAGATTTTTTCCTGCTGCTGGGCCAAGCCCATTACTGAAGTACCTTCGTTGCAATAGTTGCAGATGTTTGCATTTGCACAGAATGGGGAAATATCTCCATGCAAAACAAGAATTCATCCAGCATCACTATATTAAGCTGTAATTCCAGCCCATGGCCTGCAGTGCTGAGAAGCAATATGGGAACACCAGGCTGAGGAAAGAAGACAGACATCTGAATTAACTCCTGTAGAAGATTGGCAAAGCAGCTAAGGCACACTTGCTTTCAAATTGCGAACAGGGCAAGTGTTACTGGTGCTGCCTCATGTGTAGTTCAGAATCACTGATTTGCTCTATTCCTTTTAGTAAATGGAGATTTGGGGGAAAAAAAAAAAAAAAAAAAAGCTAAATCCCCAGTGTAAATAAGTCAAACCTACAATATTCTCAATTTTCAAAGAGTGAGGTACTGGAATTTCTAAAGCAGAAATTATTCATTACCAGAAATTGTATCGTGGTGTCCATCTACCTGAGGCTCTTAGAGCCATCTAATAGAGTGTGCAAAGAAGCCAAGAACAATTTCTTTAGTTGCCCTCTCTGTTAATTTTTTTTTTTTTAATTTTCATTTTCAGCCTTTTCTGCTTTGTGAGGAAGTGTCAACAGACCAGAATTTAAAAGGTGACAAACTGTGAAGAATTAAAACTTCCAATTTAACAGATGAGCAACTGCAAATAAGAGAATCTCAGACAAACACTATTTTAATGAAAGGTGACATGCCAGAGATAAGACAGTTTTTTCCTCTCTCTTCATCAGGTAACCACAAATTAGTTTAAGAATTCATATAATAATACTGTGAATGCAGTAACAAATTCATATCCTGTGCTTTTAGTTTTGTTTGCTTGTTTGCTTTCTGAAACCATATATGACATTTCTTTTGTAATAGCACATTTTCTTCACACTAGAAGTGTCAACATTTGTTCATGTCTGGAATAACTCTCATTCTTATTACTCTCAGGTCTAAGGCTTATTTTTCTTCTCCTCTGCAGAGTTTACATTTTAGTGCTAGGTGGTGGAGTGTGGTGAGTAGGCACTACAGCACATTTCCTGAATTTTTCTAGCATTTTGTGACACTTCACAGGTACAGAAGTGGTTAGATATATGTTGGCTAGTTGCTTCTAATGAAATTTTCCAGCGCGATATGAATCAGAAGGAAAACTAAACATACATTAAGTACTCTAAAAGTACAGTTCTGCTAGTAAGCATCACATGGCTACCTCTCTAAGGATCACACTGAAATAAGTTTTCACATACATGCAATTAAACTCAAATGAGTACAAAGGCTAAATAACTTCAAATTACCTATTAGCAACATATTGTGTTTATTGCACAGCAAGTGATCGTGCACTGTCATGTGTAAGATCATGGAAATCACTCCTTTTATCCTACTGTACTTTAGAGAGTAAAACATCGCAAGGAGAGTTTTTTTAAGTTATAATTACGTGAAGAAAATAACCAACAACTTGATACAAGATCCTGAGAATGAAATTTCAAACTCACTGACAGCTTGCTAGGGGTCTTCAAGGTGTCACAGTCAGCTCTCACCATCACTTCCAGCTGCAGTTCTGAATGCGTGGTGTAAATGCCCCTCATCAGCATGCCCCAAGATAATTATCTATCCACCCTCTACTCATGTGCTTGAAAATAATCTTTAATTTATTTTCATGTCTATGGCAGATGCCACAGTAAAACAACCAGTGGGATTCTCTTGTATGTGCCTCTGCCTCACTGGGTATTAATGAGATTTTCATTTAAATTTCATCAGGGAATGATTTCATGAATTCAGCATATGGGACTTACAGTTTAAATTGTTTAGAAGTGTCACTTTGGCTCTGCAAATGTAAAGTATATATGACAACAGGGTATGTATGCCTACATAACACTCCTGTGATTAGTTGGTCTATATTTTATGTAACAATCTGAATCTAAAGCAAATGCTACAACTTGCATTTTTTGCACTCTGACAGTGCATATTCTGCACCATGAATAGCATGGACTAGCTATGCCTTTCTAGGCTGCATGTAAATTTAATTATAAATGTGTCTGGTTTATGTACATTTGGGGAAAAAGGAGCTTTCCCCCTTAGCAATGTCTTATAATAAATAATGGAAATACGAGGTTTTTTTGCTTAGATTATACCTGGCAATTGAAAGGCTATCAAGTAATAGGAAGAAAATATTGGAAATTGCTGTAAAAATAGCTTAGATGGACAATCCAGTGTGGGGAAGGGTAAAGATCACTTGGAACTTCACCTGAACTCAAATGACAACCATTCATTTCATGCTAAGGTTGAAATTAATACGTATATTTATCACAACATCTAGGGACGGTGGTCTGGATTGTTCCTTTCTTCTTCTGCCTTGGTACAAATGCAAACAAGAACAGTATGAATACTGCCTCTAATATTTACCATGAAAATATAAAATTGAATTATTATTTTAGAGGAGAACATGAGAACATCCTAAAAACATTTTCATTAGCAAGATAGGCAAATTATTTTGCACAATGGGAAAATTAATGTCAGGTTTTGGGAGGCTTTATACAATAGGGAAATCTGACAAATACAAGACCTTTGATTATTTGTGAGGAGTTTGTTCTGGGTTGGAGGTGGGAATATTATGGCAAAAAGCATTAATGTTTTTATTTGAGACTTTAGCAAAAAGATAAAGATGACTGGCATCATAGGCTAGAAAAAAAATAGCTGGTGGGATGGAGATAGGTAAAGTGCAAGGTGATGAAAACAGGCAAACATTGTTTAAAAAAAAAAAAAGTAGGGAACGAGAACCAAGATAAATGCAACATAAGGAGAGGCATTATCAAAGGGGTGAGGCAAGGAAGTCATATTTGCAGCTATATTTAGGTAAATAAGAGCTTGTAAAGTTTAGATTATTTGAGTCAGATGAAGGACTTGGAAAGAGATGAATTGGGAGTTAATGTACTTGTCGAAATTACTATGGGTTAATGAATTAATAAAGTAAATGTGAAAGAGAAAGAAGAAAGAGCAGTTTGGAGCTGAAGAGCTGGGCAAGGGCAAGAATGATTTGTTGGGTGGGAAAGAGAGTGAGAGTAAAATTATACTTGCATTATAAGAGAAGAGATGGTTATGGAAATGTGGGTGGAATATGACTGGGAAATATCATGGGATGGGCCAGAGGGAGGAGTGGTTTATCTGCATTTCTATCAGCTTGAGGTTGACCTACAATTGAAATCAGTCCTATTGCACTGAAAAAGAATGTTGACCCTGTCTTGAAAAGACAAATGTAAATCTAAGCAAATACCCAGTTGATAAAAGCATGAAAGGCAGCAGTTCCTTCCCTTGGAAAATGTTTTAGCAGAGTGGGTAAGGCAAGGGCTCTCCCTGCTCTGACACAGTGACCACTCAGCTCCAGACAGGAGAATTCACAAGGGAAAGGGATCTAAAGTTGTCTCATTGCATGCCCTGTATGTGCTGCACAAAAACTACTGCCATTATATTTATTACTCTTGAAATAAAAAGATGTTTAAACTGAACAACTCACCAAGGCAAATGCAGTAGATGTTAGTTGTTCTCATGACGATTGCTGTTTACTTTTCAAGCTATCTGATTTTTCTGCAGATTCTTCTTCAAATTTGCCTACTGATGTGTTCAGAAGTTTTCTTTGCAGAATATTTCTTCTCTAGTCAACCCTGTAGATCTTTTCAAATGAGTGATTGAGACTTTGTATGTTTTCACTGTCACATAAGACTCCCTCCTAAATCACTACTGAAGTAGAAATATATATTCCAGGCTATATAGAAAAGCCTGGATTCTGATCTTATCTGTACCAAACTCCCACTCACTACAAAAATCAGATCCTGTAACAAGGATGTCCTGGCTCCCCTGCCCCTCACAGGGAAGCATCCCTTTTGATAAAGGGGGTTTTGATTTCCTTAAGAAATAAAGTATGATTAGTTAGAAAAGCTATGATCTGTTGGAAAGAGGAAAACGTTAGATGGGCATCTTGTTACAGCTTCTTTCACCGGTACAATATATTAAATGATAACCCTGAGTTCTAATTCAATACTGACGAAATATGGAGTATAAATGATTTATAAATTAAAGCATTCATTCAAATTAACAAAAATACTGATGGTATGATAGAGGACCATCTGTACTGTGCCATCTGGCAGGTAGAAGGACAAATAAAAATCAAATAATATCATTAATAATCTTTCAGGGAGTACTTAAAATTTTTCAGGAAATTAGATTTACTGAGATCATTACCTTTTTTAAGCAGGAACATACTGTCGCCATTATTTATGTGTAAGATGCAGACTTAACCTGGAATAACCTAATTAACATAAGTAACACTTAAGTATCTCTGCAGAATTTTAAGAAACCTTTAGACCATTTGTTATTTAGTAAATTTAGAAGCCTGAAGATGGTCCCACAATGGCTCCCAAGCACCTAACTCTCTCAATTTCAATAGGAATTCAGCACCAAATTGGAGCCCTGTTACTATTTAAAGTAGGTGTGAAACTACAAAACTTTGACTTTAAAGGAGAAGAGAGGCTTTAAACCATACAAGCTATGAAAAGAGCTCTTTGGGAGGTTCCAGGGTACACCTGCAACCAAGCAGGATCTTGCTATACAAAATGCATCCTAAAAACTGTAGCTAAAAATAGGAAGTCCCATCACTTTGATAAAGTAGTTCTCAAGGAATGTAAACAGGACAGTCAGGCTCCACATCTGCACACGTTTCCTAAAAATAGAGCTGTGGGAAGAAACCAAGAAACATAATTTGCATGCATCTGCAGAAGGCGAGATTAAAAGACCAGTTTGTCCATTTCAGCTCGGCCCCTTTACCAGCTTCAGCAAGACAGTACAAGCCAAAAGTATAAATGCTTCTTTGAGGAATAACCAAGTTTGCAATTTTCTGTGTTAGCCATTAGTGTGAGATTTCCACTGATTCTGTTTGTTTTTTTGTTTTTTTTGTTTTTTCATAACTGATACATTGTAAGTATTCAAAGAGATTTTCCAAACACCTTTCTCTTAACCAGGTATCTCCACATTCCTGTGTAAACAATCCATTTCCATTTTGTTTACACACATTTAACAGTTTGATTCCCTTCTTGCTTCACAGACAAACCAAGATTCAGTCTTTTAATCCTCCCTCTTAAGTAAAACCCTCCAACTATACTAATGACTCCGTGGTTCATCTTTGAATTCCATTCAGTTTACCAAGATGTTTATCTCTGGTAAATTTACACGTACATCTAAAAAGCCACATAAGGGAATTTTATTTTTCTGCTCTGTAGCATAATGATGCCGTATGCTCCCTTATCTTTGCTACATTGCTGCAAAATCATCTCTAGTTTCCAATCTGTTATCTCCTCGAGGTTTGGCAGTGTTGTTTTTGCAAGGTCGCTCCCTCCCATTGAATCTCTTTTGTATTAAATTTTTCTAGATACGCTTATCTTTCGCTCTCAATCACTCCAAGGGTTGCCTGTTATTCTTGATATATACTGTAAGTTCTTTTTTCTTTCGTATTTGCAGCTCTTCTTCTTCATCAGATTTCATTAATTTTGTTTTTCCACCCTTCTGTAATTGTTTAAATAACACAAATATCATATAACATGAGATCAAACACAAGAAACAGTCTAGTAGCAGCCTTTACTACTTTTATAATTGATATAATTTATAATTTAATGATTCCTCTTTGTTAAGATTTCAGTGTATATTTCATGCCCACGCACAAACCCATTGCTTTGGGAGCACATTTTCAGGTACATGATGAATGCATGAAAATCAAATTGTATTACAACCATCATGCTCTCTCTGGTGTGCAGTGTTGTAATTCCTTTGCAGAAACAGCACTTGAGTTTGAATGGCAAGGTCTATCCTCTATGAACTCAAATCACTTCTACTTTATGTCCCTAGATTATTAAGGGCATTTATCAGCTCTCACTTTGTTAATTTTTCAGGAGTGAACTCAGTTGTGCAGTTGGACTGTGTTGGTAGGCACACCTTGTGGCACTGCAAAGAAGGCACCCTGCCATGTATATCTGTCCTACCTCGAGGCCACTCAGACTCTTACAGAGAGACCAGGACTTGAGAAGACAGGACCATGCTAATACAGCGGTACAGTTTCTGGAACTGCACTATGGAAATGCTTTTCCACAAATGTGTTTGTATGGGAGTGCATGCTGTGGCCTATTTCTAGTGCAAATCTTTGTTATTTTGCTTAAAAATTTTGTTTTAAAAATTAATGTTCAGGGTTAGTTGGAAGATCGAGACCACAGTCAGATATTCTGCATGTGAAAGACAGCAGAAAGTTGGGCTGCAGAAATGCAGGCATTACTAGAATACAGGGCAAACTGTGGCATTAATCTGCAAGCATCCATACCTGCAGCATGTTAAAATGGACAGATATACAAATCAGGAAAATCTCCGTTGTATCTAAGAGCTGAGGTTTGTCAGAAGTGTAACTACCTTGTTAAGTGATTTTCTTTAAGAAGCAAATGCGTTTCCGACCCTTTTTTATTTTTTAAGCAGGACTGTAGTTCAGTCTTAGAACCAAAATTCCCTGCATTGTTAGCCAGATAAAGATGGCCACAGTAGCTTGTTGGTACGAACATGAGAACAAATACAGGGACTTGAGGAAGGTTTCAGCAATGCAATATCATCTGTTTCATTAGTATTCAATCCCAACCTCGTCCAAAGCCATTTAAGATAAATATACGGGTAAGATGGCATCCTTCCATCAGTTGTGGTTATTTCTCAGGATTTCCTGTTTTTACCACCAGAATTTTTCAGGGATGGATGCTGTCCTTGAGAGGAACTGGAGGACAATGTCTCCATTTCTGAAGTAAGAGCACAGAGGAGTTGTAAAAGTGGAGTCTTCCTGTTTATTGCATTCCTTGGTATTTCGTGCAGTCCTGGGAATACATATATTTTAGAATTTACAGTATAAAATGTCAATATTGGAGTTTTGCTTAACCTTTGTAGTTTCTCCCTATGGAGAAAATTTTCTGTTCTATGAATATATGCGTGTGTGTCTGTGTGTGTGCGTGTGCATGAACGTATATATATAAAAAATGCATATGTTTATAAAATACATATATAGTACTTCCCTTAGTTTCAGAATGTCATTCCCTGTGGCCTTACCTCTATTACACACATCATTCATTAGATTATGAAAACCATTAATGTCAGGCAGCAGAACCAAATGAATTCACTAAGGGACCACCATTAGCATATCAAGTAGCTATTTCTCAGCTAAATATTCCTGACAGCCCTCATTACATATGACGGATGGGCTTTATAAGAGGTAGTAGTTCCAGAAGAAAATAAAATCTCAGCATTCTACCACATGTGGCCCAATAACTAGATATCATTTTTTTACTGTCTGTTTGCATTTCTTCCCTTTTTTTTCTTTCAGAATGAAACAGTTGTAAAACTCATAAATAGATTAACTGCATAATTCAAAATTCATTAAAAATTGTGGGCCTAATTTAGCCCAGTTTCTGAATTCAGTAGGTGCTTTAGTCATGGGATATCAAACACTGTGTGCCACATAGCTGGATTGCCAGCAGCCTGTCAGGAAAAAAAAAAAAAAAAAAAAAAAAGACACAACTGATAATAGCAGGTGAGGCTGGATTTTAAAAGACCATGTATTGCAGAAAATTTGATGAGTGGGAGTCCAACATTTCCTAAGATTAAAAAAAAAAAAAAGAAAGAAAAAGAAAAAAAAAGGAAGGAAGGAAGAAAAAGAAATAGATTTTGAAAATGAAAAATATAACTGTATCAAAGCCATATGAAAAACAGGCACAAGCCACAAACAAATCAATCTAACACCTCCTTATACCTGCAGTCTCCTGCTAGGTGGACACAACTGTGGCAACTGATAACTTCCTTTGTGGGAGTACAGACGCCAGCACTTCATTCTGCAACACGATAAGAAGTTTAAAGCTTGCTGCTGTATGATTTCATGGAAATGTCTGTAGTGCAGCTCATGGCCATGAAAAGTTGTCCAATTTATGCTTAGAGACAGAAACTTTAAGGGCTCAAATCATGTCATTTACATTGATGATGACAGAGCTGAAGCCAGGCAAAATCATCTAGAAAAACTATTCTCACAAAAAGAAATCTAAGCATCCCTCTATAATCAGGCTATCTTCAAGTAAGCAATTCCTCAGGCATCCACTAATCCTATTATAATTAATGAACTGCTTTTGCTGGTTCTAGATATGCTCTAAAACTGGATCCAGTATTTTGTTTCAGTTCTCTCTCATACGTAAATATTCTCAGTGGAGGGATCTGCTCCTAAAAACCTCAGTCATTGGTATTGACGTTATAATCTGAACTGTGTATAGATGGTTTGTTTGTGTGATCAGTTTGTTGACTAATGATGAGAGTATATTTTCCACGCATTTTATTCTTTCTGTGACAGTGGTGCAGACAATGCAAGAAAAATTGTTATTTTAAATTTAGCATTAAAGTAAATCCACAAATATATTTTTTCAAGCAGTCAAGCTGAAACATTAAGTTGAACGTTTTAGTTTGATGTTTGAATTTTAAGTCAAGCTAAAAAAAAATCTGAAAGGTGAGTTGAAGTATGTTTTGCCATTCATTCACAGCTTTACAACTGTTATGCAGCTGGAAAACATCTGGCACTACGCAGAGCATGAATGTGAGCTCCCAACCCCACCAGCCAGTCACACCAGCATATCTAGAGTGGTGTACCACTGCTGCTTCAGCTGCCCATCCTTCTGCCAGTGACTGGATGGATGACTCGAGTCCCAGAATCTTCTCAAAAATATGAGGTAGGGCATAGTTTTAGAATATGTATGTGTTCCATCACACTTTACTGCTTTTCATTTTATATTACATTATTTCTGGAATACGAGAGGGAAAAACTAAGTAACACTTCATAACTAACTTTAAACCCTCTACAATTGCTATCACAATACCTCCAGTTATTAGACAACATGAGACTTGTCATAATTGCTTTGAAAGAATGTGCCTTCATGATACTGGTATGTATTTTTTATATTAAATGTTTTTAAGAAAAACAAAATCCACTTAAATTCAGTAGTTCATCTTAAGTCCTGCGAATGTATCTTCATTCTCATTGTTAGGTAGCTATATCAAGACTGTTTGAGGCCATGATTTTTTGGCTACAGTGCACTTTCAGATGAGATGCAAATTCTGTATTTAATAAATAAATACAGAAACTCTGAGACACAACAGAAGTGAGTTGGTAAATATCCATGCTTACTGGCAACTTTTCAAACGAGGGGAATTTTTTTTAACAATCCACTGCTTCCTAGGCTTTTATTTAGAGGCTATCAAAAGTCAGGAATCCAGCCTTGGTCTGAGTGTCTTACATCACACGTGCACCAAAGCACAGGGAATGGGCCAGAATCTAGCCTAGAGTGGGCCTCAGCTGCAGCAGCTGCTGCAGAAAGGGCTGGACCTTTGGGCAGAAACCAAGACCACCACCATGTCTATCCAGTGCCCGTCTGCAGGAGCACAGAGCTAGCAGAGCATCCTCCCCTGCCCACTCTCTCTTCATCCCAGCCAGAGGTAGACTTCCTAGGGAAAGAGAAGTTGGAAAACTGCTGTTCTTAGCCTGTCTGTGAAGAAAAATAATGTATTTCTTAGTCTCTTATGAAGTAATGCAGGTACTTCACCAGCAATTGCTGACATCTGTATGCTTTTTTTATTGCTCTTCTGCTTGGTGGACCAGCAAGGCAGACTAGTAACATAGCAGCCATTTCTGTCTTATGCAGAATGCCTTCAAATATTTCCAGACTATTACAAGATTCCCAGATGTAACCTTTCTGACGTATTCTACTAGATTATCTGAAGTTTTATAATGAATCAGTCTCTCTTGCAATCTGATTCTGACTTCTTTGAATTACTTCTGTGTGAATTATAGCTTTAGAGTACCTTTGTGTTCAAAATTAAATTCTGCCATGTTCTGCATAGTTGATTTAGCAGGAAAAGCCCTGGATAGCTGTGGCTATTTTCTGCAACATCATATCTTAGAAAACTTCCCAAAATGCCTGGCTTCTCCAACTGCTTTATGCCACTAAAAATCTGCATTTCATTCACTGTAGAGTTTCCAGTGCTTTTTTTCCAGCTGGCTGTCTTATTCCATGCGCATCTTTCCTGTATTTCTGAATTCATATTTGTCAGTTTGGGTCTCATTTTGTGATCCTGTACTCCTCTTCGCAATTTCTTTTATGCTCTTTTCCCTTTTTGATTCCTTATCCTTACTGTTAGTAAGTTAATGTCATTTTCTACTCTCATCTTGCATTGTTACTCCTACTTCAGTACCAGTGTGAAAGTGTTAGTTAAGATGCACTTTCCCCAAGGACACTCACCACTGTCCTTATTGTTCTTCAAGTACAGTGCTTTAGCTGGGTTTTTCCTCAGCCCACACACCATTGTTCCCATTCAAAATAAGGTAAATCACTTTTCTTATGTGTTTCCCTGGCAATTGCTATCAAGTGTTTTGCTAAAATCTAAGCACATAATCTCATTTGCTTTTTTATGTACTGATTTCTTTTTTCTTTCTTTCTTTCTTTCTTTCTTTCTTTCTTTCTTTCTTTCTTT